AAAACCATGAAAGCCACCAATCAAATGTCCAGACCACCTATGGGCAATGCCTTCGTATCTGAGAGGCCATTCCAGCGTCTTTATTGTGATTTCTTAGGACCCTATCCAGGTTCAAAGCGAAGAAACCAGTTTTTGTTTATAGTGCTAGACCATTTTTCCAAATATGTATTTTTGAAGGCGATGCAAAACGCGACGTCGGCAAACGTAATTAGCTTCTTTAGTACAGAGATTTTTCCAGCTTTCGGGGTCCCTCAATTCGTCCATAGTGATAACGGGAAGCAATTCATTTCGAAGGAGAAGCAGCAGTTTTTTTGAAAACTATGGCGTTGATCACATTAAGACGGGGTTATACTCACCGCAGGCTAACGCCTCTGAACGAGTGAACAGAGAGATTGTTTCGAAAGTTAGAATATACCTGAAGGACCAGCAAGATTCTGTCGGTTTTAAGAAGCGATTACCATACGTCGATTCAGAGCTCGCCTTACTACGCGTTATTCGGACAAAATATGATACAACATGCGGCAGCCTATAACATACTGGAGAAACTGGGTAGCCTAAGACAAGACGAAGTCCCGACTACAAGCAGAGCTGACAAGTTATCAAACATTCGCGAACACATACGAAAGAACCTTGAGCTAGCGCAAGACAGAGCAGCGAACACGTACAACAAACGTACGCGGGTTGTGAATTACCGGGAAGGACAAGAAGTATTCCGGAAAATCTTCGCTCTTAGCACTTTTAAGCAAGCACAAATGCTAAATTCTTGCCTAAATATATCAAGTGTCGTGTTCTGCGAAAGGTAGGCAATGCTTTGTACGATTTAGAGGACTTGAATGGCAAACCGATCGGTAGGTTCCATGCATCTGACATCCGGCCGTGACAATGTCATCCATCACGAAGAGCGATCCGAAAGTAAAGTAGTTTTTTCCGATATTAATAATCACGTTTTTTCTAAAATTTCTATATATACACGTTTTTGCAAATATTAAACTTAGCGATAGGGTAAAACCTTGACCGCCCGCAGACTGCCCGGGGTCCAACTTTTCATGGCTTTTCCTCGAAGCTAAGTCATGTTGGGCTGTAACTCGCTTCTGTAACTCTTCTCTGCCGATCATTCCTCTGCTGGTAGAGAATATACGTCATTCTCTACTACTCATTAGACAGAGAACAAGGCATATATAAATTCGCTCAGGTAGAGAATCGGAACAGAAACGAGCTACTGGACTAGCGGAGGGGCCGTACTGTGAAGACCGACTAAGTTCGGCAATTGGGGGTTGGCTAGCTCTAGCCAACGAATGTGAATAGAGTGTCTTTTTTTCTCTTACTATCCTTTTCACTGGGCGCTTTGGCGGTCGGGGACAAACCGCCCAGTATCCTCCCCGAGCATCTATATTCATAGGACGTTCACGCGCGCTCCCACCGGGAGTCGTGAACTGCCTGACGATCAGCACTCCCATTAGGATGGTCTTTTAGGAGTTTTGACGAGTTCTCCTTATCCAAATGTCTACTTCATTTCGGAGTTTTGATGAGTTCTCCTTTAAGAAAATGTCTCTTGGGCCGCAAAGCCATAATTAATAGGAAACAAAATAAATATATACACAGTGTCCTTTTCAGGACAGCCTGCCCTGTGTTCTTCTTAGCGGTGTTGAACTAGTGGGGGGGAATCGGAACAGAAACAAGCTACTGGACTAGCGGAGGGGCCGTGCTGTGAAGACCGACTAAGTTCGGCACTTTGGGGGGTAGGCTTCTCTGGCCTAAAACAATAGACAACCACCGAAACACCGGACTTGCATTTTTTCCCAGAGTTCGCTCGGTATAATTCTTACTCCAGCATTTCGAAAAGAACGCTATTTCAACCCATACGTAATCATACAACCGGGATTGAGTTCCGAGTCGAATATGCTAGGCAAACTCTGACCTAATTTTTATTTTTCTCCCTACCAGAATTACGAAAACCACCCTGACTTGCTGAAACCCCTGCCAGAACCTTTTAAAACATTAAATCTATTGTTTCACAAATACAAGAATGATAGGAGCCCTACAAAGTATTAACTAAATCAGTAGACTTATTGCTCCGGAGGCCGACTAGGCAAAACTGATCCGCCCAGCATTTCAAGCGAATACTGACGCGGAAAATAGTACAAGCGTTAACTGCAGTGGTCCCGTATCATGGAACTAAACTTATTAGTCTCCCAATACTGAGTCTTGCGAATTCGAACTGCTACCAGACGTAATTACGGGGTTGTAATTCCTTGCCCGGCTAAATACTTATTTTTTTGAGACTCTTTATCTCAGGGGTGAGTCGTGCCCCACGTTCTGGGGATTTTACTATCTAATTCCCTTGCCGGACGCCTTGCGAAGACAGTTAACCCTTTTCCTGTTCGCTTCTGTGACGAGTCGTAAAGTGAAGCAGGTTTGTAATGGTCTACTGTTTGCCGTAAAAAATATAAATACTTTATTCTTAGGCGTATAACGCACCCGGTAGCGTGCCGGAAATTTCACCATCTAATAATTTTTCTA